ACGAAAGTGTTCTAAAGTTGTATACTTGACTCTCGTGTTTAGGAGAGTTGTGCCTTAATATATATATATATATATATATATATATATATATATATATATATATATATATATATATATATATATATATATATATATATATATATATCAAGGAATCAAGAAATCTGCAATAGGCCTATTGGTCCATGCGATTCGCCTATATATGTAAGATGTCTCGAAAATCCGTTCTCATTGCGAAAAATTATTTGTAAATTAATTGTTGCATTTTACAATTTTATCTTCTATTTTGCAGATATGCCAGTTGTAAGATAAACGATTGCGTGTAGAGTAGAAGAAGGTTCAAGAAAAGAAGGTTGAACTGTTGCTGTTGTATATATGATGTAAAAGTCAGAGAAGCATGCCAATTATCCCACCATAATTATCCCCATAAACCACTCAGTCAAGTGTTTTGGGACTCGGAAAAGAATTATAAAAGGTATTTAGAGTAGACCTTGCAGATACCTCCTCAACACCTGTTGATAGGAGAAAATATTATACGCAAGTGGGATGCTCGCTGGCCTCGCAGGTTCGAATCCTATCAGAGGGAGGGCCGAGGTGCAAAAGTCTTACGACTCGTGTTTGGAGGCTATAAGTTCTGCCTCCCACAACAACAAAGTGGTCGCAGGCTAAGGGCCCTCCTTCCCATAGTTCATGTATGTAAAATGTAATACACGATCGGCAAATCATTTTTAGCAAAAGTACTTTATAATAAAGTGGCAAATTCTGATGCAGTTCTGACATACATACACCAATATATACAAGGGACAAATACAATACATACAGCTGCAGCCATAAGCTACGCACTGAGCACGAATGGACACATTAAGGTGATACAGCTGATGGAAATTTGTCGTTAAAATAAGTTAACAAATACCTTAAGACAAAATATGATTCCTAAAGCAGAGTGGCTGTGCAGCCCGTTCTCTTAATTTGCCACTGTAAAAACTCCAATCTCCTAACCTAACCAGATACATACGAACCCAAGCAACCTTCATAACCTGTTGAGTCCGATGCATAGAAAATGTACTTATTTGTGAACTATTGCTTTTCATAGTAAGTTGCATTTATAACGGTTATCCCTAGCGTAAAAAATGTTTTATGATAACTACAAAGCATGTGAAGTATGATTAATATGTATAATGAGTACATAATCGTATGTGTAGCATGATGTGCAGTATAAGAACATAAAATATGAAGAATGATGAATACATAGCATGTGTAGTATGATAAATTCATAACATGTGCAGTATGAATGCAAAGCATGTGTAGTATGATGAATTTACTGCATATATTGTATGATGAATTCACTGCATGTGTTGTATGATGAAAACTTTGCATGCGATGATTACATTGTTATGTGATGAATGCTAACATAATATATCAAGCCTAGCATGGCTTCACCCTCGCCAAACCGAAGCCTATGTTGACTTGATTTAACGACTGATAAAGTGACAGCTATAGAAACACATTAAAATAATTCTGAATTAAGTTATTTTGTGGCTATAGAAGATACAGCAACACACGGGACCCTAGAAAAAGCTATCACTTGAATGGCACTTAAGCTGAAAGCTCCACAATTAACCTCAGTTCTGCTAAAATGAAAAGCAGGTACACGCTCATATATTATTGAAAACGAGTGAGGAAAGACCAAACAGTTTGGGGTCATTACTCGCGTTATCAGTTAAATATTTATTGACACAAAGGGTTTAAACTACGTGCAGTATTGACAGTCTGATACATATATTTTTACCTTAGCACAATATAATGACGCCATAATATGATAGCCAACTGCGATGGGATTTCTGATCACAGATTCCTTCAGTGTCGAACGGTCGTTAGATGCAACATTGAATCTTATGCTCTTCATTTACTTATCGTTGTAGATATATATAATTACATATATATATATATATCAGCAACGTATCCTCCAAAAACGAAATTACTTATATTGAGCCTAGGAGAAGATAGGGTAAGCTGCTGCATTTTGTTTCAGACCTTTTAGAAAAACATTAGTTAAATGATTCTAGGGCGACTCATACTTCATTTTACAATTTGACTGGGACTGACACGCGATTCGCTGAAGTTTTCTTCCACATTTTCCATATAGAATATGGTGAGGTGTTACCAAGTCGAGAGGATTGGACAATTTTGCTTTTCATTCTCATAGGTTAACTGGGATAGTAGGTATGGTGTGAGTTGGCAGTTATATCTTGGTCTTGTAGATGGCAGGATGTACTGAAGTGTGAGCTGGCTGTTATATCTTGGTCTTGTAAATGGCAGGATGTACTGAAGTGTGAGCTGGCTGTTATATCTTGGTCTTGTAAATGGCAGGATGTACTGAAGTGTGAGCTGGCTGTTATATCTTGGTCTTGTAAATGGCAGGATGTACTGAAGTGTGAGCTGGCTGTTATATCTTGGTCTTGTAGATGGCAGGATATACTGAAGTGTGAGCTGGCTGTTATATCTTGGTCTTGTAGATGGCAGGATATACTGAAGTGTGAGCTGGCTGTTATATCTTGGTCTTGTAAATGGCAGGATGTACTGAAGTGTGAGCTGGCTGTTATATCTTGGTCTTGTAGATGGCAGGATATACTGAAGTGTGAGCTGGCTGTTATATCTTGGTCTTGTAGATGGCAGGATATACTGAAGTGTGAGCTGGCTGTTATATCTTGGTCTTGTAAATGGCAGGATGTACTGAAGTGTGAGCTGGCTGTTATATCTACGGTCTTGTAAATGGCAGGATGTACTGAAGTGTGAGCTGGCTGTTATATCTACGGTCTTGTAGATGGCAGGATGTACTGAAGTGTGAGCTGGCTGTTATATCTACGGTCTTGTAAATGGCAGGATGTACTGAAGTGTGAGCTGGCTGTTATATCTACGGTCTTGTAGATGGCAGGATGTACTGAAGTGTGAGCTGGCTGTTATATCTACGGTCTTGTAGATGGCAGGATGTACTGAAGTGTGAGCTGGCTGTTATATCTACGGTCTTGTAGATGGCAGGATGTACTGAAGTGTGAGCTGGCTGTTATATCTACGGTCTTGTAGATGGCAGGATGTACTGAAGTGTGAGCTGGCTGTTATATCTTGGTCTTGTAAATGGCAGGATGTACTGAAGTGTGAGCTGGCTGTTATATCTACGGTCTTGTAAATGGCAGGATGTACTAAAGTGTGAGCTGGCTGTTATATCTACGGTCTTGTAGATGGCAGGATGTACTGAAGTGTGAGCTGGCTGTTATATCTACGGTCTTGTAGATGGCAGGATGTACTGAAGTGTGAGCTGGCTGTTATATCTACGGTCTTGTAGATGGCAGGATGTACTGAAGTGTGAGCTGGCTGTTATATCTACGGTCTTGTAAATGGCAGGATGTACTGAAGTGTGAGCTGGCTGTTATATCTACGGTCTTGTAGATGGCAGGATGTACTGAAGTGTGAGCTGGCTGTTATATCTTGGTCTTGTAGATGGCAGGATGTACTGAAGTGTGAGCTGGCTGTTATATCTTGGTCTTGTAGATGGCAGGATGTACTGAAGTGTGAGCTGGCTGTTATATCTTGGTCTTGTAGATGGCAGGATGTACTGAAGTGTGAGCTGGCTGTTATATCTTGGTCTTGTAGATGGCAGGATGTACTGAAGTGTGAGCTGGCTGTTATATCTTGGTCTTGTAAATGGCAGGATGTACTGAAGTGTGAGCTGGCTGTTATATCTACGGTCTTGTAAATGGCAGGATGTACTAAAGTGTGAGCTGGCTGTTATATCTACGGTCTTGTAGATGGCAGGATGTACTGAAGTGTGAGCTGGCTGTTATATCTACGGTCTTGTAGATGGCAGGATGTACTGAAGTGTGAGCTGGCTGTTATATCTACGGTCTTGTAGATGGCAGGATGTACTGAAGTGTGAGCTGGCTGTTATATCTACGGTCTTGTAAATGGCAGGATGTACTGAAGTGTGAGCTGGCTGTTATATCTTGGTCTTGTAAATGGCAGGATGTACTGAAGTGTGAGCTGGCTGTTATATCTTGGTCTTGTAGATGGCAGGATGTACTGAAGTGTGAGCTGGCTGTTATATCTTGGTCTTGTAGATGGCAGGATGTACTGAAGTGTGAGCTGGCTGTTATATCTTGGTCTTGTAGATGGCAGGATGTACTGAAGTGTGAGCTGGCTGTTATATCTTGGTCTTGTAGATGGCAGGATGTACTGAAGTGTGAGCTGGCTGTTATATCTTGGTCTTGTAGATGGCAGGATGTACTGAAGTGTGAGCTGGCTGTTATATCTACGGTCTTGTAGATGGCAGGATGTACTGAAGTGTGAGCTGGCTGTTATATCTTGGTCTTGTAGATAGCAGGATGTACTGAAGTGTGAGCTGGCTGTTATATCTTGGTCTTGTAGATGGCAGGATGTACTGAAGTGTGAGCTGGCTGTTATATCTTGGTCTTGTAGATGGCAGGATGTACTGAAGTGTGAGCTGGCTGTTATATCTTGGTCTTGTAGATGGCAGGATGTACTAAAGTGTGAGCTGGCTGTTATATCTTGGTCTTGTAGATGGCAGGATGTACTAAAGTGTGACCGGGCTGTTATATCTTGGTCTTGTAGATGGCAGGATGTACTAAAGTGTGAGCTGGCTGTTTATAGTTGCAAGAGTGTGTGTGATATATAGTGCTTTGGCTATGTCTAATCTGTCGTAGTTGTTTTTTATTATTATATTTCGATGTTATTGCTCATGGAATTAAACTTTTATCGACAGTAACTGAGTCACTTTTAACTGCATATTTTAGTATTCAATAAATTTAATTGAAAGTGCTTACATGTATGATATGAAATTCTAGTTACATAAAAAATCCCACAGAATACAGGAAATGATTCCACTCAGTATGAGCATGATATGTTTAAAAAATAGAAAGGTCGTATCATTTTATTTAATGCCACCGAGTGTTACACTAAATTCTGAAGTAATAATATATTGTTTTAAGGAACGTCAGGTCATGTGCTGGTGCCTCAGGCGGTGTGAGGTCATCACAGGTCACCATGAAACTTGAGACGACATTGTTGTTGCTGCTGGGCGTCTGCTTTGCTTCATTCCTGCTCCATCCTGGTGAGTAATGAATGTTTCTGAGAGACGTGAGGTGAGAGACGGGGGGGGGGGGTAGAGGTGAGATATGAGAGAAAGGGTGGAGAGAGTGAATTATTAGGAGAGACAGAGGAGGGGAGAGAAAATGAGAGAGGGATGTTGGGGAGAAAGGTGAAGACGGGGGTGATGAATGAGAGGGGAATAGGGAAAGAGAAGTGAGGGACGGCAAGATTGAGAGATGGTGAAGGGGGAAGAGAGACCTGGGCGCAGCCGGGTACTTCGGGTAATCGAGAGAAAATTATCATAATTTCCTATTGTTTTTTTTTTTTTGCACGTTCTATTTTTGTTATTACTTGCGCCTGTATAGTATTCTTTACCCTTCCCAGTCGTATAAGAAAATATAATTTGACTCCTGTTAACTTATCAGCCTATTCCAGAATGTTATGCCGCCATAATAACTTGGTATTATGGCGCCTGGGGAACTGGTAGTGAGTGTCGTGCCCAGTGACATAAACTTGGTATTATGGTGCCTGGGGAACTGGTAGCGGGTCTTGTGCCCAGTGACATAAACTTAGTATTATGGCGCCTGGGGAACTGGTAGCGGGTCTTGTGCCCAGTGACATAAACTTGGTATTATGGCGCCTGGGGAACTGGTAATGAGTGTCGTGCCCAGTGACATAAACTTGGTATTATGGCGCCTGGGGAAACGTTGTGTCCGCAGGCCAGGTTGAGGGGATCCAGGTGCTGCGTTTCCAAGAGGACCGCAAGGCCACTACAGAGACCATGGCGTGGTACCAGGGCCAGCTGGACCCACACCGTCAGTTACACTCCGTCACCCTCTGCGGCAGGTTCTACCTCTTCACCATCCACGGCTGGGCAACGTTCTTCGCCATCTTCAACAGTAAAAACGATTCGGGCATCCTTGAAGGAGGTAAATATTGTGGGATATTGTAAAAAAGTGACTACCCATTACTGTATTTTAATGTATTTATTACAATTATTGTAATTTCAATGAGTATAGTCTACAAGTGAGATCTTTCCATGTTGCAGACATTTGGGTGGAGAGGGTGAGGCCAGTCATCGCCAGGAACTGGAACTTCCAGCTCCTTAAGAAGAAGATCTGGGTATTCAAGTGAGTCTCTTTGGAAATTATGTAACTACATTCTACTGGAACACAAGCATCAGTAAGCACGACTATAATTTGTACGATGCTGTCGTAGTTCTAGTATTTTGCCATTTTTCTTGTGATGGAGAAGTCTATAAATTATTTTATCAACTGGTCAGAGTTCTATCTAGCTGAGAACCGTGATGAGGGTTCGAACCTACGTCCAGCATGATCCTATACGCGCCTTTGTCGATTGCGCCACGACATGAAAAGAATTGCAACTGGGAGTGCTGCTGCCCTCACACGGATCCTGCAGCCTCTCCGAGACTCAACCCGGGGTTTTACACACTCCGCCATGCACCCCGGGCTCTGTCAACAAGCTGTTCTACCTCTTCGCCCTTACTTCAATACAATACATCATCCCGGACGTAGGTTCGAACCCTCATCATGACCCATGTGGATTTGTTCGTTTCCGAGGGTTGTAATTTAGAAAGGAATAGTGACATACCTTGTGATAGATTAATGTATGTAAAGGTATCATTTATGAATCTTTTTTTAAACAGAGTTCCTAATTGCCCGGACAAATTTATTAAAGCATTTGATATTAAAAAGATGAAGATTGGCATATCACTTGAGCAGATAAGTGAAATCCAATCTTTATCTTGAACAAAATCAATTATATTAATAAAATGAAAGAACCGCTTATTGATAGGAATACTTATGTGACTTAAACTCTCGATCCATTTAAAAAAGTTACTGGTAATTTTAATCATAATTTGTTAGATTTTCTAAAGTATAATAAAATGATTAAACATCTGAAGATTAAATACCCGTCTTTGCCATACATGTATGGACCTATTCAGACTCACAAGTCAGTACTCCAGCGAGACCCATTGTTAGCTCCATAGGCTCTGTAACTTGTAAATTGTCGAAATATTTGTGCAGATTTTGCTCCCTTTGGAGCAGTGGCCGCGTCTCACATTAAATCAATATTGAATTAGTCAGCAAAGTAACTTACATGTATTTGTGATATAACTTCAGCTTTGTGAGTTTCGATGTGACAGCTTTGTTTACTATAGTCCCAGTTTATGACTTGTTGGAATACTTGTTGATTGAACTGCCTAAATATAGTTGGGACTTGCCAGCAATCATAATTATTGAATTGATTAAATTCTAGGGTTAAGAGTAACACTTCTGTATTTAATGGAAATTTTTATACCTTGATGTTTGGAATATTACTATATAATATATACTAAGTTCTATATATATATATATATATATATATATATATATATATATATATATATATATATATATATATATATATATATATATATACATATATATATACATAGTCACAATCAGAAACTTAATCCGTAGCAACTTATCTGCACCACAGTAAAGTAAATCAAACACATTTTAGGCATACCTTGCAGCTGCCCATTCTCTTACATCGGCCTATTTGCAGGAATAAACATATTAGTATTAATGTAGGTAAATCTTTCACCAGATTATTTAATCAATAAACTTTTTAGGCGAGTGTCTGGCGTAAAGAAAGAGCCTGAATATTTTACCTGTTTGGACTGAACGATTGTTGATGAGGAGATTAGTGCCAGTGATGGCATGCAAGGGCTGCTGTCCATATAGCTGTTATGGATTGATAAGCTTTATTAACTGGTATCAATCGAGCAGGCATTTACTATTCCGGCTTTGCTCAGACGTGGACAAAAACCGTACGAACTCCTAAGTTCCGTAATGATTTATCATATTGAACTCCGGAATAACGAGAGTTGTGCAATAAATGGCCTTAAGTGGGATACGAAGTATTAATGTTTATCGGATCAATGGCACTGAATAAATAAAATATTTCAAGTACAAAGGTTTGCAATCCAACAGAAGCGAGGTTGTCGAATACGACCAAATTAACAATGATTCGCGCCAAATTTCCCCGCAAGTTTGATATGACAGGAATCATCTTATCGCTACACGAAGTTCTTTGCCATGTGTAATCCACTTTGGCACCATCACATAACCGTTCTACATATGCAAACATTTATATTTTAGTTTATATACAATTTGTCACAAGCTATCATGCATGAAAAAATAGACGAAATCAATTGCAAAACAGTGAGTAATTTTTGTTTTCCTGTGTACTGAGTGCGATGATTATATTCGGCGGCCATATTGCCTCAAGTAGCAGCCACGAGTGACGCCATTCTATACTCGCAGTGTCAACAAACCATTACGACGCCTCAGAAAATACACGAGATGTGAAAGGTAAACTTTTTAATAGACTCCAGGGTTGTAGGGAGTGTAACTGACACCAGTAAGAAAACGTTTGCGGTTGTGTCGTGTATGTTGTATATGTGTCATACAGGTTCCGGAGTCTATTGGGCCCATATCATAACTACATTTGAGACTGTGTATGGAGTCTGCCTCCATCACATCACGTCGAAAAGCATTCTTTCTAACATCTCTAGTTCATTTGAGTACTAAGGTTCCACCTGCGTTCCCTTGTTCGCGTAGCACCCGTGCTAAATAGATTGTCCTTGTCTACCTTGTCAATTCATTTGATAATTTTGTACGAGATAATCATGTTTTCCCCAAACTTCTGTCTTCCATTGACATATATATTTTTATATATAAATATAATATTTATATATATTTTATATATAAATATAATATTTATATATATTTTATATATAAATATATATATATATATATATATATATATATATATATATATATATATATATATATATATATATATCGTACCTAGTAGCCAGAACGCACTTCTCGGCCTACTATGCAAGGCCCGATTTGCCTAATAAGCCAAGTTTTCCTGAATTAATATATTTTCTATAATATTATTTTTATGAAATGATAAAGCTACCCATTTCATTATGTATGAGGTCAATTTTTTTTTATTGGAATTAAAATTTACGTAGATATATGACCGAACCTAACCAACCCTACCTAACCTAACCTAACCTATCTTTATAGGTTAGGTTCGGTTAGGTAGCAGAAAAAGTTAGGTTAGGTTAGGTAGGTTAGGTAGTCGAAAAAACATTAATTCATGAAAACTTGGCTTATTAGGCAAATCGGGCCTTGCATAGTAGGCTGAGAAGTGCGTTCTGGCTACTAGGTACGACATATATATATATATATATATATATATATATATATATATATATATATATATATATATATATATATATATATATATATATATATATATATATATATATATATATATATATATATATATATATATATATATATATATATATATATATATATATATATATATATATATATATATATATATATATATATATATCGCAATTTAATTGAACTATAATTTTTGAACGTATGAACAAAATTTGAACTTATTTGAAAGCCTATTTCAAACATTTACGCAATTATATGGCAGTGTGTACAACAGTTTTCTAAAAACTTGCTACTGGTTATTTTAAACGACTTCTTGTCCTTATAACTAATATCCTGTGCAGGTGGCACCACCTATGTTTCACGTACGACCACACTCAGCACCTGATCAGCACGTACGTGGACGGAAGCCTCAACAACCACCAGGAATATGATATCGTCCGCACTGTGTCTGGGGTGAAGGCTCGCCTGGGTCAGGGAATGATGCCTCGTCGGAGTTTCAGTGGAGATCTAACGCAGGTGAGCTCATAATTACTGTAGAAATCTATCTTTAGGAAGTTGGCTCACAACCGATTGATGCCGGGTTCGATTCTTGAGGGTGAGACGCTTGGGTATGTATCCTTGTACTTGATATCTCTGCTCACCAAGCAGTAAGGTAAACATGAGGAGAAAGCACATGGAAGAGATACAGAAACAAGGAGCTGGAATACGATGGAGTGAAGGTACGGTACAACCACTTGGACCATCAGGAACTTAGCAGTATATATTGGTACCCGGGAGGTAGTCAACTGTCGTGGGTTACATCCTAGTGAAGGTCAGTCGTTAGTCTAATGGGACAAATAAGTTTAACAGGATTCCTGTCCCCGACTCTGGAAACCAATAATTATAAATTTCGTGTTGCAAAACACCAGCAGAGGCATTGATGACCAAACCCCGAACAAGAAGATGAAGAAACGACGATGTTTCGGTCTGTCCTGTACCAATACCAAGTCGTATGTCCGCCCTGGACATACGACATGATAATGATCCAGGACGGACCGAAACGTCGTCGTCTCTTCATGTTTTGGTATGTGGTCTGGTCATCAAATCTTCAGCCACGTAATTGTGACTCGTCGTCTGCAAGACCAGCATTGTTACAGTTAACAATACAAAGTGCAACAGCTAAATGTAACTAAGTATAGAAGCTAATTTTTAATATATGAATCTTGTGCCCTCGTTCCACAAGACGGTACCATCATTATCTGCAGTGAGCAGACTATGGCTGTGTTGAACACGTTCTCTCTCTCCCGTCAGGTGAATGTGTGGGACAGGCCGCTAAGCCCGGAGGAAGTGCGGAGTATAGCAGACTGTCAGAGTGACCCGCAAGGTAACTACGTGTCGTGGGAAGGCGGCTGGACTCTCCAAAACGTCACCAGTTATAATCTGTCCCTGACAAAGTTATGCGACAGAGATGCTGGTCCGACATACTTTTGGTTTGAATGGAGTCCCTACCTCGTAGCAGACTATCTCTGCCTGGCCCTCGGCTCTCAACTACCAACGAACCATACTGAGGCAACAACTGCTATTAACGCAGCAAAGAACTCTTCTCTGAATCTAGGTAGTTGTTATAGGGACTACTGGCTTGCCCCTAACGACATAGAGGAAGAAGGAGTGTGGAAGATAGGTAACACTCCCGTGGATATGAGTAGTATCGGCTGGGCTGCACAAGAACCAAACGGGTTACATTACGAAAACTGCATAGCATTTGAATACAGATCGTCTGATATCGACTGCAGAACAAACGTAAAATGCACTGCCTGTTTAATCCAAGAACAACAGAGATTTTCTCTACTTGGAATATGTGAAAATGAACTTCGGAATATTTACTTCACCGCATTTCAGTATAATGTAAGCGAATTAATTTTTATTGGCTACGGAGCTTACCACATTCAGAAAGTAAACGGAATATGGACCTGGGTTAACCACGTCACCAACACAACAATTGCTGAGATGGAGGAATTTTTCCCTGACTACCCTATGGGTCGACGATGGTGGAAGCTGCACCAACCCGTGTGCAACCAGAAGCATGGCGGCCGCCGTCTCCTCTTACTGTCGCCCTGTTCATATGATGACTTTACCTGTGATGACGCCACCTGTATTCCTCTCCACAAACGCTGCGACCTCAAGTACGACTGCCGCGATAACACTGACGAACTTAACTGCAAACTGGTGGCTTTTCCAGAGGAATATCAGAGCCATCTGCCGCCTCGTGCTGGCGGAAGGGAAGATAAAAGCTTGCCTATAGTCCTCACGATAGATGTAGATTTCTTATCTGTGAGGACCATGGACATGGTCATGGACTTGTCTTATGAGCTGGCGTTAACATGGGTTGACAACAGGCTGAGGTACCAGAACTTGAAGGTGAACAACACGCTTAACATTCTACCAGACGACACTATGCACAAACTGTGGTCTCCACAAGTGAGTTTTGTCAACACCAACGGTAACCAACACACACTGATGGACACAGACACCACCATGCTGGTGGACCGCTACGGTAATGCAATTAGCAGGGATCCAGCTGCTCCTGCTGAGGGTAAGTTGACACACAGTATCACCCATCACTACTAATGTTCTGTATATGGGGTCTTTATTAAGATGGAGCAGGTAATTGAAAACCTTAAATATAAATTAAGAATGAAATCATACAATAAATGAATTAGGAATCATTATTTAAAACTCTATAATTATTTTTCACCCTTAGAGTATCTAAACTCTTGCATTACTTATAATTTAATTTCAGATTACACTTCATAATGGTCTTCCTCTTGATTCTACTCTTGTACTTCCAGTGGACATCTTTTCTGGGGAGACGAATACGGTAACAGCCAAGAGGAAGTACGGTACAGTGTACATGTGTGACCTGGATCTCGTGCTCTACCCCTTCGATGTGCAGGAGTGCTATTTGCACCTCAGGATTACCTCCGCCACAAAGTCCTTCCTCCTCTTCGACGTACTCAAGTCCTTCGTCAATATTTCCGCCAACAAGCTTCTGCTGGAGTATGAGGCGAGTCATCATGCATGCACGATCACTGAAGCCTAGTGTTGTCTGTATTTATCATCCGCGGTGAGGAAAGTCTTGTGTTTCGTCTGTTTTTATCATCCACAGTGAGGGATGTCTGGTATTTTGTGCGTATCATCCAAGGTGAGGGCCACCTGGTGTTTTGTGTGTATTATTCAGTGTTGGAAGCCTGATGTTTTGTCTCTTTTTATCATCCACGGTGAGAGAAGCCTAATGTTATGTCTATATCATCAGCGGTGCAGAAAGCCTAATGTTATATTAAACATTAGGCTCAACGGTGAGGTAAGTCTTATGTTTGTCTGTTTTTATTATCCATGGTGAGAGAAGCTTAATGTTATGTTGATCTTTATCTCTATCTCAAACACACATTATCTCACAACATATCTTACCTCCACAGGTATTTCTTCAGAACAATTAACACTATTAATGATCATTAACGTTCCAAAATGGATGTCATTGCGCTCATGCCATGTTTTGCACTCTCCAGGTGTTGCCGATATCGAGAATATTACATAAATTAATGATAGATAGTTTTCATCGAGAGCAATTATCGACTGGATGACATATACAGATTACTTACATATATTTTTGTTTTTTAATCAATGCCTAATTGTCAGCTGTTATTATTTTCACTCGTGTTCGACAACGGAATTGTTGGTGATTTGCCTTTAGCGTTATTATTTGAAATTATATTACGAAGGTCATGACCAGCTCAAGAAAGCTAAGAGAACGTGACATGCCAAGGGTGTTCAGGCACATACGCCGGGAGGTGCTTCCCACTTTTCCGTATATATATATACCACTTCAGTGGCCTGCAGTGGTAAACTTTGGGTGAATTATGAAGGATCACTTCACACCAGAAATGATCACAGCACATCAGAAACACTTACACCAGAAATATTCACTGCGTGTCAGAAACACAACACGGCAGAAACACTCAACCCCCGCAAAAACACAACTAGTAAACTCATAGCGCGTCAGAAATGATCACGACACGCCAGAAATACTCACAATACGTCAGTAACACTCACAACGCGGTACAAAAATTCACAGTGCGTCACAATCACTCATCATACTCGAGAATCACTCAACGTACGCCAGAAACATACACCGCACACTAAAAAAAATTCACCGCACGCCAGAAAACATTAACCAAACGTCAAAAACATTCACCGCATGCCAGAAATACATTGCTTGAAAATGAAGATAATTATCGGTGGCCAATAATCATATGCATTATTTATGATCCCAAATGAAAGTGTTGAGTAGAATTGCTGTTGCACAAATAAGCCCTAAACCGGCATTATAAGCTTATTATCAAAAATTATTCGTTTATGAAGCCTCGTTGAAGGTTTGGACATATACTACATTGGATACCAGGCGGTTCTCGAGTGAAGAACAGCGGCCGCATCTACACACGACTTTCATAAATATAACCGGCTTCACTGCAAACTGTCTTCATCATTTAACCATCTACACAACACACGACCATCATCAATTAATCATGTAGAAAATAATGTACTGGATGACTCTTAATGAGTCTGGTGTATATCGAAGTTGGAATTTGGTATCAAGAAGGTGCACGAAGGGCGAATTTCGACCCCGTCATGACCACCTCCCACCATTGCAGTGGGAGGAGTTTACTTGCAAACTTTGCAGTGTAAAATCCCTGCAAAGTTTGGGGGGTCACAAGTGTCTGGCCTTTGACAGCCAAACAAACATGTATCCTGTTCTACTGATATAGATAAGATAATATCTGTGTAAGTAGAGCCAGGAGCGGCCCTCTGGCCCCATCTACAACACTCCCCCGTGTCTCCCATCACCTCTGGACCCATCTACAACACTCTCCCGTGTCTCCCATCACCTCTGGCCCCATCTACAACACGCCCCCGTGTCTCCCATCACCTCTGGTCCCATCTACAACACTCCCACGTGTCTTCCATCACCTCTGGCCCCATCTACAACAGGTCGGGGAGGTGGTGCTGGTCCACGGCAGCTCTGGCATGTACAGTGAGGTGAAGGTGAAGGTGCCACTAACTCGTCGCTCGGGCTACGCCATCCTCACCATCTACATCCCCACCCTCGTCCTCCTCGTCGTCAGCTACGTCACCCTCTTCTTCAGACCCGTCATCTTCGACACCAGGATGATGTCTGCTCTCACCGTCCAGCTCGTCATAGCCACCTTGTTCTCCCAGGTACTCCATAGTGCAGGTGTTCTCCCAGGTACTCCATAGTGCAGGTGTTCTCCCAGGTACTCCATAGTGCAGGTGTTCTCCCAGGTACTGTGTTTTCTTCACAGAAGACATCAATTGTGTATCTCTCCAGCCCTTGGCAGGTAGGACAGTCAACCTAGGTGTGGTTGGTTAGGTTAGGTTAGGCTAGGAGTTTTGGTTTGTTGATTTAAGGAGTTTTTACTGCACAGGCTGGTACGTTTCTAGTTACAAGTTAGAACATACTCAAATTGATAGAGGAATAAAAATAGATCATTATTCAGCGTTATAAGTTAGTATTAAATACGTTCCTATGTCCGTTTGTTTTCATGATGGGCTGGAGCCTGGTGTAACGAGTTAATCCACCGGTTCTGATACCTTCGATCTACGCTTGACACAATTCTTAGTGTGAAATCTTTTTCCTGATTTTTTATCATGCAATAATATGAAATGTTGATATATATCATAGTTAACCATTAACCTATTATATTGTTCAGACATCTTGCTGTCTTCCAAAGTCGTAATCCAGGTCTCTGCCAATTTCGCCAGGTGTCAGCCTCGTTACCCAAGACTTCCTACTTCAAGATGGTGGATGTCTGGCTCCTCTTCTGTATTGGTATTACGTTCCTCACCATCATATTCCACGTCATGGTGGACAGCAAAGTAAACCGGTCTGGAGGAAAATCTGTGCGACCAACTGAAAGTTCCGTTACCACCAGCATCTTAGTGGGACAGAAAGGGCTACCTCGGAAACCTGTACCACTTATTCGAAGTAAATGGATGAACTTAGAGACAGACGAACAGAAGATGGTTATGCTAACGCGGATAACAATTCCTGTAGTTTTTCTCATCTTTAACTTCTGCTACTGGATATATATAGTAACTTATTGATTACTGGCTTCAACCTCAACTATATATATATATATATATATATATATATATATATATATATATATATATATATATATATATATATATATATATATATATATATATATATATATATATATATATATATATATATATATATATATATATATATATATATATATATATATATATATATATATATATATATATATATATATATATATATATATATATATATATATATATATATACATATATATATTTATATATATATATATATATATATATATATATATATATATATATATATATATATATATTTATATATATATATATAAATATACACACTTAACAAAAGAATAGGGGTGGTAGGAGAAGAAAATATCAAAGTGTTCAGTGAGGATCCACAAGGTCTTCTCTGAGTACTCTTTATTTTCTTCTCCGAGGCTATGGGTCCCTACACTTGCACCAGAGGTGGTACCTTTTTTTTCAAAAAAAAAAATATATATATATATGCACACACATACACATACACATACATACTACACGTGCTTAGTTTGTCTATTGTCTAGTTTGTCTAGTTTATATACACCTCTTATGCATTTAGAGATAAATCTAAACTCACGTTGTATGAAATGGCAAACCATCTTATTACTAAGGATAAAATATCTGAAATCCTTACACTGTATCCATATTTCGCTTCCAGTAGATAAACGGCATATGAGATTAAGAAGCAAGTAGTGTATTGTGAAGACTAATAATAACAAACAGCAGCTCCCCTATGACCTGTAATATCTCCATAGCTCAAACAATTATGTATTAGTGATAAGACCTACAATTAATGTATAATTAACTGTAAATATATAGCTATTGAAATTGAACGTTCTCTGTAACTAGCTGACATTATAATTATATGATGTGAAGGATAGATGAAATTGTTAATGTAATCATTACCGTTGAGGTATGATAGACCTTTTGTGCCCTCTGTAATCCTTTTTGCGCTACCGCTCACTGGATGAGTATTGGGTGCACAATAAACTAGCCTCCTACGGCAGCAATAATCAATCACAACCGACCTGCACCTTGTCGCACAACAGTTTAGACAAAGTTTTAGCTAAAACGTCGCCAAGTCTTATCTCAAGTAATGTTTTACTCAAGTCGTTGACAAAACTATTGCGACTTAGCGATGCATATTTTAAACGCTGGAGATTTATTTAACGGGATTTAGAGAATAAGGGAAGGGAATGGCTACGAAGCTAGCTAGTCTGGACACACCTCACTGTTTACAAAAGCCCACACCAACAAAGCTTTGAGATTACTGAAGGAAAATCCTCGCTTCCTCTAGCCTGTAACAACCTCATCGATCTGATCGACCTATGTATACACCACAATTACTTCTGCATATGTTCTCAATTCTATTGTCAAAAATTCAGTATGACAATAGACCCCCAATTACTGTTTTGCTAACGATTTCTTTTATGGAATCACTTGAAGCAGGGCCAGTCTCCACTATCAAACTCAGCATTGTACAGTGACGTTACTGAGCTTGCCTATCAGTGTCTATGGTGAAGTGAGGTCTAGTTTTTTATGCCTCGCCTGTGAGCCTTGTTATATCTGTTGCATTATAAGTTAACTATCCTGACATTCAAAATCGTCGAATCTGACCTTAAAGTTGTAGATGTAGGTGACTTCCACACCTTTTTTCCAATACATTCCACTTGCTGACCTTGTAATGCTTGTTAATATCTATAATATTTGTAATAACTTGTCATTCTTGTATATACTTGTACAGAGTACGAATATTTCCTTACATTTCTTCGACTCATTTCTGTTTCCAGCTTCGGCCTGTGTTATTTGGTCCTTTGTCTCAGTTTAAAGGGGCTGTCCTTGTCCATCCTGGATTATTATACTCTATCTGTGCTGACGATGTTTTTATTATCATTAAGCCGTATCGATCTGGATCATTTAGGAATAGATTGAGCGAAGGAGAATCTAATCAAACGTTTAACTGTAATGTAATAGAGTCTTGAGTCAAGCCACAAATATATTTAAATAATCAATAATGGTATCAGAGTCTATCTCCTGTGGATCCCATCTTATATTTGCCTCCAAATACATCTTTAGAACAGGTGAGTTAGCCAAGGCATATCCTCTTAAGGAGGCATTTTATTATCATCTTAGCATCTTATTATCTTTATTATCATCTTTATTTAATCTAATTTATTTATTTAAATAATCTAATTTATTATCATCTATCTTTAATCTCATCTTTATTATCATCTTATTATCATCATCCTTTGAGCAGCCAGCTACGGGCAGTAATATTCCTAGAACTACAACAAAATTGAATACACTTGAAACAAAGTGAAATTCACACTAGTTATTCGACTTATCATATTATTATTATAATACAGGTTAGTGCCACATATCTATGGACCATCCAATAAAGTTCGTAAACTTGTAAACGTTACTACTATTACTAGGCTTAGGCTCTGCTACAAGCACCTCTGGGAGTATATTGACTGTAAAAAGCAGAAACACTCAAGTAGGAGCAACTAACCAAAATAATAGATATCGTTCACTCTTAATCTTACAACGATAATTGGACAAAAAATAGATATACGCGTTGCATCATTTTTCAGAACGTTTATTATAGAAACCATACAGTTAACAACAGAGATGGACATCAATAACAACAACAAAGCCGAACTGAACTAACGACTGGTTCTCCCAACAGGACAGACAGCTGATCATTAATAATATTTGCAATAGTCAATACAGTATATGAGTTGGGAATAAATTGCTCAACAATCAAAAGCAGAACTAACATCAAGAAGACCACCACGGCAGAGATATACACAGTAAAAGTATTTTGTTGTATTAAATATTTGCAAGAGAGTTATCAGTATATTATTTTAAAGAGGACGGAAATAGATCATCACTTTATCCTGGTCCTGGGTGCAGTGGGACGCTTGGATACATTAATGGGACCCCGTGAGACGCTGTGATTGTTGGACCCCTCAAGAGATACAGGGGTGTAATGGGACGCTGGGATACAATGGGACGCCTCGTGAGACGCTAGGATACAGTGGGACGCTCAGATAGAGTAGGACGCCGGGATACAGTGGGATGCTGAAATAAAGCAGGATCTTGAGATAGTGGGACGCTGAAATACAGCGGGGGACGCCGGGATACAGCCAGGGACGCCGGGATACAGCAAAGGACGCCGGGATACAGCAAGGGACGCCGGGATACAGTGGGGGACGCCGGGATACAGTGGGGGACGCCGGGATACAGCCGAGATCAAGACCAATCACCAGCCGCCACCAACAAGCCACATCTGAATCTCGCAACTATTTACGGCTCACAATATTACCATCTCAAACTATTACAAATCAAATTTCCCAAAGCTGAGTGACATACATTAGGAGGATACAGTATAGAAGAGAGTAATGAGAGTGTTGGTATGTGGTAGAGTGGGTTGTATTAGAGGAGAGAGGTGGCGAGGCTCCACCACACAACCCTGGTGTAAGGAGCACCACAGCTGTCACCGGCCACCATGCTCAGGTGAGCTCCGCGCCTCGCTCTCATTTTATTACAAATATCATGAGATTTTGTACTATTTTCTGGTATTTAACTGCTGTAGTGCTTTGCTGCTAACTACTGTGTCACGTAGTTAGGAGTGTCTGAAGTTACCTAAAGAGTTGACGGCTCATGTGGTAATTTTTGTTTTCTGGTGCCCAAGGGTACAAACCTGTCAACAAATGGCAGGTTTGTCATTGGTGATTTACGCTGCTGGCACATGTGTTCTTGGCCCTTTTGTGGTCCAGTATGTGACCTTGTGGCAGGTCATGAGTGGCCCAGTGCTTCATGTGGACGGTGGCCGCTCTGTTAGGTTCAACACTCACGGGTCAGGCCAGTAACTGAATGACTTAACTCTTCATGCCCAGGAAGCTGTTCATAAATATATTCATTGTGGCTAAATGAACACCTGAGAAAGGTGTTTTCTCACCTGAGGAAGGTATTCATTTAGCTGCAATCCTAAAAGACTTTGGTCTAGAGTTGCATACAGTTGCTATCGAACCCAATGGACCCGTTATATCCCCGGGTACAAATATAATATATCGATATCACTCGTGGACACAGTATGAACAGTCATCGATGTTTTTTTTCGTTAGGTTAGCATGACATGACTGGGAGGGTCATGTATCCTACTGTGGAGTCCTGGAAACTTGTATATATACACATACTGTACAGTATATTGTATTGGAATAATCTCCCAAAATTATAATTATTTGGTCATTGGTGAATGTGATAGTCATGTGAATAACATAACTGCTAATATATTCCTCAATAATATAAAGTACTGGTAGCCCATACAGTATTTTGGTATACAGCTCGGTGCTGTATGTTGGTGTTTATGGTCGTCGTGTGAACCAAGTTGTGAGCACTAGTGCTACTCGACACAAAAACTGATCTCTGATCTTTGCACTGAACTCGACAGTTTCTGGATTCCAGGTAACTGGTGGCTATCAGTGCTGCTCGAGATGCTAAATTATTATATACAGTATATTGTTTTACTGTATTTAAGTATTTTTTTGGGCAGATTGTACATAATACATCTCTAGTTAAAACACCCTTTGAGTATACTGTATACTGCATATTCAAAAGTGCAGCAGTGATTGCACATCACTGCATACAATACTTGTACAGTATATGGAAAAGTGTGTATATAAACATGTTTCACAGTAATATGCTTGGTTGAGTTGTGTGTGTACTGTATCAGTGGTCATCATATGGACCTAAGGTTTAAATTTTCCCATTTAACCTCTCCTGGTGCAACTAACCTATAAATATCAGACTGGCTGGTGTATTTACATATTAAGGCACTTTTAATTGTGATATATTTAAAAAATTTAACATTCATTTTTGAGCAATTAGTACTAAATTGAATATCCAACATGCATGCAAAATTCACCAATTTCCCAACAACTGTTTGGAATGTGTACTGATAACATGTGCATCACTTTCTTAACTTACACTACCTTTATATGATGTAAACTGTTGGGTTATTACATAGTGTATAGTGCTTAAATGCAAGTAATATAATCATAAAATTCTAATACAGTATAAGATAAATTTCAATTTCTCCCACCCTGTTTGCCATATGTTTATAGACTTTTGTAGCAAGTTAGTGGGTTACATGACTAGCTTCCCGGATTGCAATTTTCTTGTTGCCTAGTCTATCGTGATAAGACCTAATTTAACTCTAGAAGGTCAAGGAATGTGTGACAGAAAAGGACTAAAGGCAAGACCATCAAAGCTGACACCAGAGTATACATAATGCATTTTCCGAAAAAACAAAGTTGGAAAACACTCCAAGCGCTGTTACACCGTTGTCAATAAGATTGCTAAGTACAAGGGAGCAGAAGACCCAGTAAAAGTATGTCATGAAGGCACTGCTCTCGGCTGCAGGTAGCTCTCTCCATGACTGTAGTCGCTTCAAGACATACTTTTGGTGGACCTTCAGCTCCCTTGTATTCACCCATCATTTTTTGCCATGGTGTTGTGTGTCTTTATGTATTTTCTGCATTTTTTTGTCCTTGTGTCTAGCACTGGCTTTGGTGGTCTTATTTTTTTCTCCCCTGGTTTTGGATGATTATTGGCTGTTGCCAGATCTGTTATCAACCTGTCCTCTTACAAATTGTCACTTTTCACTCGTATGCGCTATGGCCAAATATCAACGTAATTCAAAATGGAAATTTATTTTCCAATTAAATTTTGGAATTTGTTTCCAAAACAGCAAGTCAAAGGTCCTCTGGTAGGTTAGGAGGGCAGGAAGTTCTCCTAAGATTTAAAAATGTCATGAAAACCGTTAATTGAAAGTTTCCTCTCCTAACCTAATAGCCTAAGCCAGAGGACCCAAAACAGAAAACTGGACAGTACGTCACTTTCATGAGCCAGTTTCATTTTGAATTATTACATAAATTTTTAGCCTGAGTGTGCATACAAGCAAAAAGCGACGTAATTTGTTTACGTCGCTTACGTCAATTTACTGAAATACTGTATTAATGAACAAAAATGGCACCCGAGAATACTTGGCTATTATTATATATAACAAATCAAATAAGTAAATGAAAGTTTAACTCTAATACAATACAAGAATATACTGGTGGTGCTGAAGACAACTACCATACCACCACAGCATCCAGCATACAACGTTGGCTGAGGACAGACGGCATTGCAGGAGACTAAGGTGATCCAAGAGCACTGAGAGAGAGACTGGCTCTCCAGGGAGGCGGTGCCCTTTATATAGTCCGGCGGTGATGACTCGCATCCGGTGTCAATGCAAGGTAGACATCTGGTCAACTAGCAAACTGCTAGTTTGTGGCTGGTGGTACCTTTGTGTTGAGGCACCCCACTGCTAGTTGAAGTGTTTGTTTGTGAAAGCAAACTACCGGTTAGCGGAGGCGCTCGGCTTTCCCCCCCCCCCCCGAGTCATACCAGGCCATGCCAGGCCCTGGGGGGTACAGATAGGTGGAGAGGTCAGGACTGATGACTCATCTTGGCTGGTGTAGAGGTGGACTTCCAGTGCAGAGGCATTGAAGGTGAGGGGGGGAGAAGGCAGTTCCACTGTTATGCAAGTGATTTACGTGACACTACCTATACATGATGTAAACTTTTTTCCTCTTGTCATCCTCACAACTATTTTCTTAGGTTGAACTTTACCACAGACTTTCTTGGGACCCATGGTGTGACATATAACAAGAACTTTTCTGTTCAGAAACCAAAAGAGCAGAAAAACAGTGAAATTCTTCACAAAGAATTAGTGTACAGGTGTAGTTATCACTAGATGGGATACACTGGTAAACTGAGCATCTCACTGCACCCAGCAGAAGCCATGTGCCTGACCCGTACAAGTATCAACAAACGAGTTGTACTCCGAGGCAAATGTCGAACACCGGGTCAAATTTTACGATGCAGTTGACCTTGTACACTGAAAAATTCATACTCTGGGTTATTCGTAGACTGAGGTTCTGAGACTGAGGTAATAATAATATTATTTTTCAGTACAGTTTTCTACCACAAAATAATTTAATTTATTTCAGTATAAAATAATTGACTGTTGTTACAGGTTAATATTGTTGGCAGTGTGCGTGTCCTCAGCCCTTGGGGCCAACACCCTGGTGTTGGTGGATACTTTAGCTACTCGTGAAACTCATTCCATCTTCCTAAAGTCCCTTCAGGGTAAGTTAAAAGTCACTTTGATCAATTAAAAGTTAATTTATTACTTAATTTTTCTTCCATATGACTTTTACCATGTTATTTTTTCAGTGTTTGAAGGGATGCAAAGAAATTCCGGACTTGAGTTTTTAGTACACAGTATTTCTAGATAATATTTCGGCTGCAAAAGCTTTTATCAGTTCTGACAAACTGAGAAAAACTTCAAAGCAAAACTGCAGGATCGAACCAGTGTCTTGGGTCACCCCAAACGTCCGCCTTACCCATATACCACACTGTCATAAGTTGCACAACCTGGAGTTTGCCTGGATCTGGTAGAAATCACTTTATACACTTGCACTTGAGTTGGTACTGTAGTGGATACACTGAGCTCCATGTTTTACATGTAACCTGCATACACTTTGTAGGGGATTGAGTTCTCCACCAAATGCTCCTGTAACAATTATATTAATTATTAAGAGTAATATTGTATACATTACATTGGTGACAGCTCTGTCACCGTCTGGGCCATTCAGCTCTGTGATTCCCTTTTTGTCCTGATTAGTTAGCTGCCTCATGTCTCTTCCTATCCTCGATTTCGCACTGCTCAACGTCCTTTTCATTTACATCGCCTCCTACAACCCTGGTGCACGAGCCCATCCGCACACTAACATAAGTCATAGATTTAAACTAAACAAAGCTGCCGAAGAAATATAAGAAAATTCACTTTCGCAAACTGAGTGGTAGATGGAACAAGTTGGGTAAGAAGGTGGTGGGGGCCAAAACGGTCAGTAATTTCAAAGCATTATATGACAGTGTGCTGGGAAGACGGGACACCATGAGCGTAGCTTTCATCTTGTAACTACACTTGGGTAATTACACCACCTGCATCTCATTTGGCACTGGATCTACATGCTCCCCAAGTGACCCCAGGGAATAATAACCACTTTTGTTTGCTCTGCAGTTGTAAAGAGAGAAACATGGTGCTTTCCCCTGATAATTTCCTCCCTTCCCTCCCCTCTACAGACGTTTTTCTTCTCCTGGGATGGGGAGTACTGTAGCAAATATATTAAGAGTAATATGATATACATTACACTCCCATTGAATACTCAAAATCACAGTAGCAAATGTTTGTGAGAAAATTTTCAGAACAGGACAGCAAGGGGTTACCCAAGATGTTGGTTCAAAACTGTCTTCTTGCTCCAAAGATTTTCACATACTGTTGTATGTCATATTATTTGTGATTTTATTTTGGATCTGACATGCTATCTGTTATAATAGTATGTCAGTGTGAATGTCATAGTAGTATGTTACATAATAGTATCTCATAAATAGTGTTATGGGTTATAAAAGGATAAAAGTAGGAGGAATGTAGTTGTAGAAAGAGAGATTGATACAATTTTTTTTTTTAATGAATGGTGATGCAATGCTGACTCCTCCTTGATTCAGTTTAACAGCTGCAAATTCTTTGCACGATCTTTTAATGCTCATTTCTTTGATGGGCTAAGCATTCCTGAAGTTTATGGGGTGATGCTTCTAGTTCTTGAGTGTAACACAAGCATTGTTGGTTTTTATAAGCACTGCAGGTATATTGATGTTGTTTAAAAGCATTTCCATTAAGATATGTTGCTGCCAGGTGAGATTACCTTGGATAAAATGTAATCTCATTAAAAAGTCTACTATTGATCAGATTTATGCTGGTAGTCAGCCAAAAGTTTAGGTAGTATGAAGATATTGTAATTATTGTAAGAATATGCATTTCTGTTCTATAGTTGATAGTACCACCTCTAAAATTACAAAGGTTACAGTATTGGGCAACATTTCTCAACTATTGTTTCATGGCACACCGAGGTAACTATGAGTTTTGCAAGATACACCAATGAATAGGTCAATTCTAAACATATGCAAATATCTTTGAATCATTGTTGTTTAAATTTTTCTCATTTAACTAGTATCAAGAGCAAAGGCAATTCTTCTCCTTTCACTTGACAGTGAAATCTGTGTGTTTATCTAAAGTACGACCCAGAATTATTTAAAGAGTACAAAGGTTGAAAAATGTTGGTATAGGGGATTAACTTAGTTTATTTTTCTTGAAATCTGGCATAAATATTTGTTTAAAAATAAAATGTAATAATAAAATCTAAAATAAGTATGAGGTTAATCAACTCAATTTGAACAAGTGTATTACAACCAAACTTACGTACTCAATACATATACTGTAACTGTGTATAAGGACTCGAACGTTTTAATTTCTTTTGTAACTCGTGTAATGCAGTTGTTGGCTTAGTAATTAGTGGCCTTTACATTCAGTATAGCTCATTTGGCAGTGTTCACTCTTTAACACTAGTACAATTCTTGAGTAACAAGCATAACCAGAGAAGTAATGCCTTCTTTACCCACAAGGTACATAATAATACTTGCAAAACAATACATACCCCTTTTTAAATAGAACGTGGCCATGAAGTGAGTGTAAAAGCAGCTGATGATCCATCATTGCAACTCTCTCGCTATGGAGAATACATTTACCAAAACCTAGTGATCCTGGCACCGGGGGTGGAAGAATTTGGAGGTGCTCTGAGTGTAGAGGTACAGTAGTACAATATTTTTTTGCTGATAACAGTACTGTGTGTTTTGTAGTGTTTGAATAATAACTCTTAAACAGTATACTGTATTTTATATTTCATAATTTATGAATATCTGTTTTTTTCCATACAGTAAACAACATATACAGTAAATACAATTATTTTATGTCTCTACCCAGACCATTGTAGAATTCATTGATGGTGGTGGCAGTGTACTAGTGGCAGGATCTCGAGAGGCTGCTGACTTGATTCGTGAGCTTGTGACCGAGGCTGGGGTGGAGATGGACGAGGAAGGTGCAGCAGTTATTGACCACCTTCACTATGATGCCAATGATGATGGGCAGGTAATGATTTGTTCTGTTCATACGCACCATAACAAAATCATTACAAAAAAATGTTTAATGTGTGATGAAATTGCCTTCTAATTTTGTTATGACTTATTAAATGTCATTTTGCTTCTGGTAATACTGTATTACTCTGATGTACTGCAGCACACACTCATTGCTGCACCAAGTACGGGGTTAATTGACTCTGAAGTAATGGTGGGACCCAGGGATGCAGTACCCCTCTTGTATCGTGGAACAGGACTGATCACTGATGCAGAGAACCCTCTTGTGCTCCCTGTCTTGAGGGCACCCTCGACTGCCTACTGTTATAACCCTACCCAGCCCATATCTGATTATCCACATGCTACAGGTTGGTTTGGCATGATAACCATTTTCTTTATTTCTTATCATAATGTCCATTGAGATATACAGTAGTATTGGAGAACATTTTTGTGGCTGATATTCAAGAGATCGTCCACCTAGACATCAGCTGGCAGCTGTGTAGGTGTTAACTTTTTTTAAAGGAGTTTCACTAGTATAAGCATGTATTTTATATCTCTTGGATATTACAGTATTCATCTATTATAATCCAGTGTCAGATCATCACCTGAAACTGAATTACTATGTATGAATGTGAAAATACTCTTAAAGATATTCCTGTTTACAGCTAACAATGCAATATTCCATGTAAATCATATGGGCTAAACAGTAATGTGGAAATTTTTTCATCTTCTATTTTGGCCAAACTATACACAGGAACTGATTTATTCCTTGATAATCAGCTTCAGGTCTAATCTTTATCAATCATAATTAGTTCTGAAAAACTGAGGCTTGAACATTTTCTCTGATCTGACAAATTCTGCAATTTTTAAGACTATGGTTTCTCTCTAGATATCTTCAGTAATTGCACATGCACAGCTCATGTATTTGAAGAGTTTCTAAACAAAACATTGCTTAGTTTTGCTGTTCAGTGCAGTAGTTTTGTGTTATCAGCAGTCTGATCATTGGTAACTTACCCTCATTTTGTTTTTCTTTATATTGTACAGGTATTGCTCTTCTCTTTTTTTCCTTACCCTATGAGAGTTGAAAAGAGTAATAATGATGATTTTAATCATTTTTACTAAAAGTTGTATATATATTTAGAACATTATTACAAGAATTTTGCATGTTCCAGGTCAGAACATGTTGTTGGTGGCCGCACTGCAGGCCCGCAACAATGCCAGAGTGGTTGTTTCGGGTTCCCTCGAGTTCTTCTCTGATGCCTTTATCATGACTTCTGTTCAGACACCGCAGGTAAAGTGTTAACAATCTTTTTCTTAATGAGTATGCATGTCTGGAAATGGCGTTACAAAACTTTTGAAATTTATTTGGTCTCGTGACTAAAAATAGATTACTACTAACTCGTCCCCCACACGTGACAAGAAAGTGATAATGTTTTGGTCCATCCAGAACCCTTATCAAGTCAACCGCTATGAACTGAAATCTCGCCAAACACACACCGAAACTACGACGTTGGTACAACGTTCGAATAAGTTTTAATCCCTCCTAACCAGTTATAACAACCAATATAGCAAGTTGTAACAACGTTCTATTACCCCATAAACACGTTAAGCCAAGATGTAACAACTTTATTACAAGTTGTAATAAGCGGAAAATAGAGACAGTTTCGGTTTGTGTTTCCAGGAATGTCACTTTCATTTAATTTTGTGTGTGGGGGGGGTTAGGTTATTTATTTTCCGCAACATTGAGACTTGCTCACTGTAAAGGGATTATTGTTGCTGGATAGTTATCACACTTAGGGAGTGCACTATTAATACAGCTCATTTAATACGATCCCCTTGTTACATTATGAAAAAAGGCTTAAGTTGTTAGGTAGCTTGCATAATACTTTTGGTATTTTTTTTGTGGTGCTTATTATGCATATTGCTACATTTTATAGTTTATCCTCTTAAAAATATCTGCCAAAAATTCTTGCTATTTCCCCAAAAAATTTTCCAGTGAAGTGCAAGTAAGCAGTAACCATTTTATTTAGGTTGTGTTTATACTTGGTATGTAGAATTGTTTTATAAATATTTTGAAAAAGCTTTCTGAAGTTCTTATAAGTTAGTGTGGCAAAAGTGAATGGGAATATTTTATTTACAAGAAGATACAATGGGTTGGTGACACGAGGGATATTTTTACATTTTTGCAATGCCACTAACGCTCATAGCGTTTCGGGCAGGTCAAGTTAAATCTGTCGGTGAGTTTAAGTACCCAGGATGTGCGATTGACAAAAGAGGAATCGGCAAGTGAAGTTAATGGCTGACAATGACAGTTTTAAACTCTTGTAAAGACTGAGTATCTACAGTGATGTGGCTAGGGGATTCCATGCTGTCGTCACTGTTCTAATCTCCTTGGTAGATATTCTTGTTGACTGAATTAATGATATTCTGTACACTGGGAATACTTGGGGCCTGGTGGTAAGTTACTTTGATGATATTTTGTATTATAAAATTGAGATTCAATAATTTTTTCCCCCTTTCCTTTTAGGAGTTATCTGATGGGTTCTTAGTGATATAGATGGAGAGAACAGGTTTTTTCTTGCTAGAAATCTAATAAAACAAACTGAAATTTAGCTCCTTTTTGTGGCAATCTGGTGGAAAGTGAAGTACAGTACCACAATGAATGAATCCGAACTGAAAATAAATTGGAGTTCTGTGGAGCTTTATTATTATAAATATGATGGACAGACTGTACCCAAATATTTTTAATGTATTCTAATAAGAGGCACGTTCCAGGGAGCCTTCTATGAGCGCTCTGGAAATGGAAAAGTAGTGGAGGCTCTAAGCCAGTGGGTCTTCATGGAAGAGGGTGTCCTGCGTGTGGCCTCCGTAGAGCATCACCTTGTAGGAGAGACGCACCCTCCTGTGGCCTACACCATCAAGCAGGATGTGGTACGATTCCCTTATTTTTAGTTACTTTTAATGAGAATTTTCTATGAGTTAGTGTTTTCTTGTGAAACTTGAGTTTCAAATACTGTACTCTAGTGTTTTTGTAATTTCTTCTAAAAAAAATTCTTTTGGAATGGCTTTTGTACTAGATTTATCTTAAATATTTAAATATTCAGTGTATTGGCAGCAAATGGTTTAGAAAAACTACACATTCCCTTGTATAACAACAATAGACTGATATGTAATATAAACTTACTAAGCTATTGTGTCTAGCAGGTTTAATGTAGGATTTACTTTAAAACTTAAAGTAAATTTTAAAGCAAGTTTACTAAAAATAAATTTCCTTATTGTCATAGACTGTTATTTTTCATGTAAATGTTTGCAAATGATTCGTCACTTGTACAGTAACATAAAATAAAATGTTGTATATATTTTTTTTTTGCCACAATGGTAATTAAACATTTTGACTGGGTGAGCAGAGAGTCAACCATACTTGTGTTATATTGATATTTTACTAGATGGGAAATAACCTTTATATTTGTGTTTTTGTGTTATGGTTTTAGGAGTACAAGATCAAAGTTGAGCGATTGGTAGATGGCGTTTGGAAACCATTCTTGGCAAATGACCTCCAGATGGAGTTTGTGCGCATTGACCCATTTGTCAGATTGACTATGACGCCTCATAGCAATGGTGTTTTCTCAGTCAAGTTTCAGGTACTGTACTATTTTTGCTACACGCCAGTTTTGTCCTAAAACGTTAACACTTTCAGGATTGTTGACAGTTGGCCAACGATTTATTTCAGGATATCTGTTTATTCATTTATATATTACAGTATGAATATTTGTATAGGTTTTAGTAAATAGTCAGCCACACTTAACAAGTCTAGTAAAGTTAGGACTGTTTTATCTAAGAACAAAAGTAGTTTTGTATTAAATGTTTTTTTCAAATTAGTTCTTCCTAATATTAACAAATTATATATTGACAGCATGACTTATTATCCTGCAGATAATGATTCATTATCATCCTAGTTAAGTCTAGTTTTACCACTATTAGACTGTATTGAGGAATATTAGGTTGGTTCAATGATAAAATATTGCATATTGCTAATTGATTTAAATGTCCATTAATCTACTAGTTAATATGTTTGAGAAAATAAATTTTCAATTACATTTGGCTTGTTAGGCAACTGGTTATTAGGTGCCATATTGTCAAGTCTGGTCCCAGGCCAGGCTTGGGGAGTAGAAGAACTCCCAGAACCCCATCTGGGTACATGTAAATATAAAATGATAGTTTGTGAGCACAAGTTCGTAGTGATGGCTTTACTGACTGCACAACCTCAAGAGCTTGTGCAATGTTTATTAAATAGTTAAAAGTAACGTACTAGTATTTCTGTTTAGTACTCGAAAGTGGCAGAGATATTTGAGGAAGTCTTATGTGGTGGTAGCTGCCAAATGATTCAAAACATTTCTTTTATAAAAATAGGTCTTTACAATTGGTTTTTTAATGAAGAGAGATTAAAGGTGATGGCAAAAATATAATGTGGAAATAATTTTATTAATATTGCTTAAAAATAATGTGTTAAAATTGGTCTCGGCTAGGTACCTGATGTGTATGGTGTCTACCAGTTCAAGGTGGAGTACAACCGAGTGGGCTTCACACGGCTCTTTAGTACAACCCAGGTTCGTAATAATTAAAAAATTATTTAATGCAAGAGTGTGAGTAGGTGTAGATTTATAGGAAAAAATAGCACATTGATTCAGTACAGTACTTATATTTTTGTATTTGTACTGTATATTTATGTAGAGTGTGTATGTGTAATATATAATATATATATATATATAATATATACTGTATATATAATTATACAGTATATGTATTTACATGTGTGTTTACATATCTCTTTTGTAAATTTGTGCTATATTTTACCTCTGATTTCACCCCAATACTTACCAACCTCTCTTAATACTTCTGGAAGAATTTAAGTGTCTTCATTCATTTGTCAGCCTCTTAACTGGAGAAATGTTCTTCTTCCAGGTTTCTGTACGTCCATTCACTCACGTGCAGTATGAGCGGTTCATCGAATGTGCATATCCTTACTATGCAAGTGCGTTTTCTATGATGATAGGTGTTTTCCTCTTCTCTTTGGTGTTCCTACATCATAAGGAGTCACCATCTAAATCAAAGACAGAGTAATGATGTGTTAACTCTTATTCTAGCTTTATAGCCTTAAATGTTGGGGTTTTGTTATCAATACCCAGTTTCTTAACATTTCCAAGTAATTTTTAGAATTATTGCTCTCAAGTTGTTTAATACAGTACGAAGCTCATGAACAGTACAGTATATGAGAGTTGAAGTATGTACAGATTTTTTTGTAAGTTGTGCATGGGAAAATACTTGTGAATTAATGATATGAAGAGGTTATTTGTCCAAAGGTATTTCCTGTAATAAAAAAGGATTGTTATTAATAAATGTTTGTGTATTGTAGACTTTTAATTAACATAAGAATTTATAATGCTAAGTTAATTTAGTTACAAATTACATTCTAGAAATTCTGTACAGTAGTTGCATACCATACAAATGACCAACTTTCTGTAGAAGTTCGCTTGTCCTTCGATAGAATTCTTGACGACTCGGATACTTTTGATATCGTTCGCCTTATGCGTTTCTGTTCTCGTATTGGCATCCTTGGTGATATTTAGTGCCCTCTGATTATACCGCACATTTGATGGTGCTACATAGCCTTCCCGGTTTGGTGCCTTCTATTGATAATTATTTACTTTCTGTAGAAGTGGTAAATACACTGCCTGGGATTTTATACATTTTGACAAATTATAAGACCATAAACTAGCTAATGAACAGATGAGTAAATATATATGTCATGGTTTAAAATTCTTGTAAACCTCATTAACACATCAAAAGAGGGACCATTAATGATACAGAAACCTGTGTTCAATTTAGTACAAGTACCATGGATAATATTGACTACCTTGATTTTTGTTTTTTTTCCTATTGAAATTTTTTCTTTTTTCTTAACAGCAGCTCCAAGCTGAGAGAGAGAATAAAAAATTACTGGAATCAGAGGAGATTCTTGAGTTGTAAATTTAGCCTTGCAAAGTGTTGTTGGAAGGCCCCATACCAAAGCTACCAAAGTAGTAGTGGTAGTTAGGAAGGCACTCCATACTTGGGATGAATATGGGGTGCACAATAAACTAGCCACCTCTGGCGGCAACAATCAAAGCTCCAATAAACAAAACAACCCCCTCCAAAAAGTAAATGTGATGTACCAATTTACATGACCCAGTGAAGGATGGACTAGTCAGTAGAGCAACGGTCTTGCTTCTTACAGGTCCGCGTTCAATTCGGCACCATTCCTTCCCTCTATCTATTTTTTTTTTTTTAAGATGTATACAAGAGTTGTTACATTCTTGTACAGCCACTAGTACGCGTAGCGTTTCGGGCAGGTCCCTGGAATACGATCCCTGCCGCGAAGAATTATTTTTACAACAAAGTACACATTTTACTGTTGAGTTAAACAGAGGCTACAGTTAAGGATTTGCACCCAGTAACTCTTCTCCGGCCAGGATACGAACCCATGACAAAGCACTCGCGGAATGCCAGGCGAGTGTCTTACTACTACACCACAGAGACGAGATATCCTAAATCCATTTCTTGTCCCCTCCAAGTGCTATGTAGTCGTAATGGCTTAGCGCTGTCTCCTCATAATTACCTCTACTTATATTGGTATGACTACCACAAAGCTTTCAAGAAGACAGACCTGCCATCTACAAGCTGGTGCCCCTAGAGACCATATGCAAAGTGTACATAACACATACTTGGAAACTGTTAGTAGATAATAGAAAAAACGTACTAGTAGTAAAGACTCACTTCACCCCAGACAACTTCACCTCTTCTACATGTGTAGTTAACCCAAAAATTGCACCTTGTGTATGCATTCTTTATCTGAAGATGTTCCATAGTGGAACGAAACCTTGTAGAAAGTAAATTCTTCAATAATTATTTGAGTTTCTTTACCATGAATTTCGGTAAATTCGATGCTTAAATTGCTCTTCTTAATCCCGATACTTTGAAAATAGAAGCAAGAAGGCTTACACTAGAAGATCAGCACCACCATCAATGTAGAAATATTTAACCAAATATGCTTAAAGGAATGCCTGCTGCCCAAGTATGTGTATATATATGTAAGGCTTGTACTTAGGTCCCACCAAAGATGCATCCGTCCTAAGATGCGGCCTCACTGCAGTTACCCAACTCCCGAGTATCTATTTACTGCTAGAGGAAATGTGGATGTGGGAAGATACAGCCGTGTCTTCATTAGTAATTAAAAGAAAAGAGAGGATGCTAAGAGAAATAGAGGAAAAGCGCAGGGGAATGAGTGAATGACCACCAATACTCACAAATGCAACCCTTCAGAATGAGACAAGCCCAAATGGAGAATCTATTCCACAGGGAGAAACTAAGCACCCCAATAGAAATTAAAATGTAAATGTTGAGAGATAAGTAGAGTGTGGTCATTTATATGTGAGAGACGTGTACTAACACTAACTACTGCTTAAGCGCCACCACTCGCAAAATTACTGCTCTTGTTTTTAATTAATACATTTAGTTTTTAATTAATACATTTAGTTTTTAATTAATTAGTTGTTTTTAATTAATACAATTAACACATTTGCATTTATGCAGCTATTCTAGACCGTATGAAAAGGGTACGGGTATATAGTGTGTTAAAAAATCCCCATCACGTAGGATTGGCAGTCATACAGGGGTCTGAAATTGCATATTTTAGTTGCTTTATGAGGATATACTCAAGATAATGAGAGTTAATAAGGTGATTGCATTGCTCCAGGTACCTCATGCCAGCAGGTCTGAAGTGTCCTTTTTTATCTAATTACTGGGCATTCAATAATGTAGTGTGGGAGATCATGCCGCAGTTCCTGCTCACAGAATTTGCACCTAGAGTGCTCAGGCCTGGGAGATCCATCACCTGTAGCCACCTGCCACAGGTAACCCAACCTGATCCTGGCAACCACTGTGTCGCACAGTCTGGTCCACGTTTTGTGCTGACCATATACATAAGTTTCGGATCTAAGCAAATCATAGTGAACCATTGTATTCCTCCATCCATAAAAAAATGGATTACCCAAAATAGAAATGAATTTGACTGGAAAAATGTGGTGATTGGAGTACCATAAGGCTCCATCTTGGAGCCAACCCTGTTTTGTCATATACCTTAATGCCATAGATGAGAATGCAGTATTACAAACTACATCAGATTTCGGACCATCCTCCTAAAATGAAAGTACATATAGTAAAAATTTGATCGAAAGTACCAGGATGTAGCAATGGTCCACCAGAAAGTTGACTTTTTACATTATTGAATTTTGACAAACCAGAAACCATTTTTAACCACAACATAAATATATGAACTAACCTGACCTAAACTCTCCTAGCACTCCTAGGCTTAATATAATACATATTCATTATATATATATGTGCTATACTAGGCCTAGGAATATTTAGGTTTGGTTTTTAGCTGTATTTTGTTCCAGATTTTATAAAATTAATAGTATAAATAGTTCTGCCCGAAACGCTGCGCGTACTAGTGGCTTTACAAGAATGTAAATACTGTACCATCCAATGTATTCTCTCAAACCCAATGTACCTTCTTGTATATATATAAATAAATAAATAAATAAATAAAAAGTGGTTTACTGGCAGTCTATCACTACATAATGGCACTTTGTTCCAAATAATTACAATAAATACATTACTATCACTTCAGAAAGGATGAGTTGCCAAATTTGCAAATGACACCAAAGATATATAAGGTAAATGCAATAAAATGTTATAAATAAATAAATAAATGTTTATTCAGGTAAGGTACATACATACAAGAGATTTTACAAAAATTGATAGATTTATAGATAGAGCTAGTACATACAATGCCTAAAGCCACTATTACGCAAAGCGTTTCGGGCAGTATCTATTGTACTTAGCCATTAAATATGTTATAGGTATCATTTATACTCTCATTTGACTGATTTAGTGTTTACATTCTCACGTGACTGAGCTCCGGCGGCTCAGTTGTGACTCTACACGCAGGTTGGTCTATAGTTCTTCTTTATTTGGTGTTTAATTGGGCTTATGCAACTTTCCTGTTATAAGGAATAGAAAGTGCATAAACTATATATATTACTGTATATTCATATGACATGTTATTGCAGGATGTATTGTAATTGTAATGGAATTATCTGATAAATACAGCCACAAGCTTGTTATAGGGAAGGGAACTATGAGGGAGAAAGCGCCAGGTCATTACGACTATATAGCACTGGGAAGGGGTCAGGATAAGGATTTGGGATGGGACGGGGGAAAGAAATGGTGGACCAACCACTTGCAGGGTCGGGGATTGAACACCGACCTGCATGAAGTCAGACCGTCGTTCTACCGTTCAGCTCAAGTGGTCGGGAAGTTTGGTAAAGCATTTAATTAACTCAGTAAAACAGGAATCGAAAACGATATTGAGACCCGACAAAAAGAGATCAATATAAACTCTCCAAATGGTCAAAAGACTGGTAAATAAAGACCTTTTATTTAACTATGCTAATATGTAAGTGATGTGTGTCTATGTATTAACACGATGTACTGAACGGGGTGAGAATAGCTTGAGCTACCTCATCCCTTTGTGTGTATTTTACCTCAATAAACTTATTTCAATTTCATTTTCAGTATGTAAGTATTGTACATACTTTAGGCTTCAGTTAAGAAAAATTCACCTGGAAAGAGGTTCTGGTTTCCGAGATATAGATAGTACTAGTATTCTGACAGCTGCAAAACTTTGATAGCGCATTTAACATTTTGTTTGTTCGGGTATGTAAATCCTCACATACTCCCAGATCTTTCTGTTTCGTGGAGTTGTCTTCCTTAAACCTGAACTGTTCCTAAGATCTTTTTTCCCCTGCACCTGTCCTCATTACTAGGCATGTGTTGTAGTTGAAGTTTAGCAACCATTGCTGAAGGGGCACAGCACCGCTCCTGTGCCAGGTAAGTCCACTACGGGCTCACCATAGCCCGTGCTACTTGCCCCGCTCCTGTGCCAGGTAAGTTACGGGCTCACCATAGCCCGTGCTACTTGCCCCGCTCCTGTGCCAGGTAAGTTACGGGCTCACCATAGCCCGTGCTATTTGGAACTTGTTCCGAGTAGCTGATTCTATAACAACAACAGCTGAAGGGCATCCCTGCAATCATCTTCGTTTCTAATTATTTTCGTCAATTTTGCATAGGCTGTAAATAGGTCAGTTGGGTTTATACGTTTTAGGCTAGGTTTCTGGTTGGCTAGGAAACCTAGGCTAGGTTTCTGGTTGGGTTTTCACGGGGTGACAAATCAAGGAAACGGGCTGGTATATGAGCCTCTCATGCTGGATAATTAAACTCTTTATGACAAATAACAAATACAGTCAGCA